TTTCTCCTTCCGTAGTGGCGCGTAACAAACGACGGCAACTAATCTGCATGCTTTTTCGTAGCAGGCTTTCTGCCATTCTCTAAACATCAGGTGATAGTGAAAATGGATATAAATAATAAAATTAGACCATACACTATCATAAACAATTAAATATCAGATTATAATTACAGTGCATAGGATCAGAGTCTGGTGATCATAAGATTCCCTGCATTACTTTTATATTGCACTGCATAAAACATTAATAATAAATACATTATCAAGCCAATAGGGTAATAACATTCAACGATATAAAATGCACCCGCATCTGTATAACTTAAGAAAATGCGACATTGAACCTGTAAACTTGATTCATCAAAAAAGTATACGGCTATTCATAAGGCCTTTTTTCCGGTGCCAAGAAACTGTCTAACTACACTAGAAAGTATCGTTTTTTTTATTTGCGACACTTTACTGGGACGATCGCGACAGCAACGCTGCCGATGCTTCTACGCTGTGCCACGGGTGCGGCTCCACCCCCATTCCTAGGAATTGTGCTTGAGCTGACGAATCTGATTTTGTTTTTGAATTGTATCAATTAACAAATCACTGGTTTACTGATGTAACATTAGAAAATAACAATAAATTCAAGTTGTTAGTTATCAACATTTTCAAATTACAAATCAAACGATGGAAAACTATCGAAATCAGTTGAAAATGCGCGGGCCCTAAGCGCCTCCCATCATACTTCTTCATTCGTCCATCGACAATGGTTTCGAAGGTCACACTTCTTTACTTATTTTGAAAATGCCACTATTGATTGATATTAACTACATTCAAAAGGATATATAAGTTTCCTTGTGCATATTCAATTATACATACATAATAAGTAAAATGATTATGTAAAACCTAATATAGATTTTCATAATATTCCTTTAACCATTCGAACACATTATGTAAATAAAACATGAGATACTTCCCCGTATATTATTCGTCACGGAACACTTTTGGAGGCCTGAATATTGCCCAAGATTAAAGCATAAATGATATAAGAAAAACAGTAACAAGCCTTGCATGACATACACATAAAAATGTACATATACAAAAGATAAACCTGAACCTCGATCTTCTTAACCGTAGCCCTATTAATACGAAAGCATATAAACCTTAAACTCTATATTGTTATATATGGTAGCAGTGTATATTTTTAATATTATATTTCTGAATATATATATATATATATATATATATTATATATATATATATATTATATATATATATATATATACATATACATACATAAATATATATATTATATATTATATATATATATATATATATATATATATATATATATATATATATATATATATATATATATATATATATATATATATCATATATATGCATGTGTGTATACATATGTGTTTAAATATATATGTGTGTGTGTATACTGTATATATAGGTATGTATGTATGTACACATTTCTGTATGTATATATATAATATATATACATATAGGCACACATACACGCGCGTGCGCGCGTAAATACTTTTAAACTAGTACTTAGTGCAATAATATCCTCATTAACATCATCATTATGATTTTATCATTATTATCATTATTATTGTCATTATCATTTTCATTATCATCATAATTATCATCATTATTGTCAATAATAAAGGAATTATCATGGAAATCATCATAATTACCTGAAATAATGTTAAAATTTTGGACTTTTGGGATTTTATTACTTCTGGCCTTTATTTCATTATAAATGGACTGAATGATAATTATTATCATTATTATCATTACTGTCATAATTTTTATTATTATTATCATTATAGTCATTATCATCATGATTATCATTATTATTACCATCATTATTGCAGTTATCATAATTATTATGCTAATTATAATTGCCATTTGTATTATTATAACTATTTATATAATGATAATATCAATAACGATAATCTTAGAAATAATAATGACAATAATAATAATTATATAGACAATGATATATTATTATACCTATTGCCATTACTATCATGAAAATTATTGGAATAGAGTTAATTATTGCTATTATTGCCGTAATTATCAAAAATTATCATTATAATTATGATTTTCTCATTATTATTGTCATTATCATTGTCATTATCATCATTATTATCAATAATAAAGGCATTATCATGAAAATCATCATAATGACCTAAACTAATGTTAAAATCTTCATAATTACCATTAAAAAGAGAAAAAATGGTTTCTTTCGACGTTTCTCTCAAAAGGCTGTAATACGCAAGATTTTAACGTTTTTTCGACTTATGGGATTTTCTTACTTCTGGCCTTTATTTCCTTATAAATTATCATCATTATTATCACTACTGTCATTATTTTCATGATTATTATCATTATAGTCATTATCATCATGATTATCATCATTATTGCAGATATAATAATTATTATGCTAATTATTATTGCTATTTTTATCATAATAACTATTCATATAATGATAATAGCAATAATGATAATTTAAGAAATAATAATGACAATAATAATAATTGTAATGACAATGATAATGATGTTATTAGTGTGAAAATTATTTTAATAGACTTAATTATTGCTATTATTGCAGTAATTATCAATATTATCATTATAATTATTGTCATTATCATTTTCATTATCATCATAATTATCATCCTTATTGTCAATAATAAAGGAATTATCATGAAAATCATCATGACTACCTGAAGTAATGTTAAAATCCTCATAATTACCACTAAAAAGCGAAAAAGGTTTTTTTTTTCGACGTTTCTCTCAAAAGGCTGTAATAGGCTATATTTTGCCTTTTTTATTATAATTATAATGACAATGATAATGATATTATCATTTCTATTGCCATTAATAGTATGAAAATTATTGGAATAGCGTTAATTATTGCAGTAATTATCAAAATTATTATAATTTTCATTTTATCATTATTATTGTCATTATCATCATAATTATCATCATTATTTTCAATAATAAAGGAATTACCGTGAAAATCATTATAATTACCAGAATAAATGTTAAAAAACTAATAATTACCATTAAAAAAATATTTTAATATTATATATACATATATATATATATATATATATATATATATATATATATATATATTATATATTATATATATAATATATACATTAATACATATATTTTAATATATATAT